TTATTAGCAATTCCGTCTTTATAATACTTACGGGCTCATAAATACTTCATCGGTAAAATTTTATTGGGGTCAGTTTGGGAAGAACCAAAAATAGTTCGGGTATCTTTTTTAGGAGAGGAATTAATGGCAGACATATAATTATTTTTGATGAACCTACCACCTTCCCACTTAAAAGATACAAAATAATAAGGAAGTTATTTATTCCTTCCACCAAATCTTTTGCATAAATTCTCCTTTTTCCCCTTAACTTGGGTTCATTAATCCTATGATGTTTTATTAATTTTAAATTAAAGAAAATGTTAATATCTACTTTTATTACCAAAAAAGAATAGATATTAGGGGGAGTATTTTCAACTCCCTACCTAATTTTTTTAGGTTATATCTAGTTAAATTTAACTATCTCTTCACTCGTTTTCTCTTTCTTACTAGCACTATAATACCTACCACCAAGGCTAATACGGCCAAAAGTCCAAGCGAAATAATCACTTTCGGTTGGAAGAAGCCTGACTTATTTGGTTGATGAGTGTTGTTTTGAGAAAGACTTTCTAAATCTTTGAGGGCTTTTTCTATTCTTGGTTTTTGCAATTGATAAGCTTTTTGCTGATAAGGATTGATGCTTAATTTCAAACTATACAAACCCTTTTTTATCTTTTCTAGTTGGCTTTTTAGATTACCAGCAGTACCTTTTAGTAAATTTTGGGCTTGAGCCAACAAGTCATTTGTTTCCACATTCGCTACCTCCTCACTTACTTTTTCGCTGACTTCCTCCTCAATTTCTCGCACTTGCTCATCATTAGTAATTTCGCCGTTTTGTAATTTCTTGATTTTTTCTTTGATTTCACTACCCAATTTATTAATTTCTACCTTAAATTCCTTCATTTTTTGTTGGATAACTTTGGCAATTATTTTGCCATATCCTTGGGGGTCTTTTTTGGCTAATTCATCTTTTTTTTCTTTAATTTCCTCTTTTCGTTGTCCGTAAACTCCACCTTGATTTTTTAATTTTTCAATATCAACTAAACTTTGTTCTTTTTCTTGGTCAGATTTGCTGGCCAGCCCCGCCAAATCATTAGTTAATGTATTAGTTGCTTCTTCATCTTTTTTGGCTTGGTCTTGTTTAACTTCTTCTTCAATTTTGGCTCGTTTTGGTTCTTGAGAGTCATTATTATTGTCATTATTTTTTCCCTTTTTGCCATTACCACCACTGCCTTTATCCTTATTTCCTTGGTCTTGATTATTTTCTGATTGTTGAGTTGAACCCCACTTAATTTCTTCGGGCTTATCAAGGTCATATTTTCACCCTTGTCCATTATTAACGCTGGTTTGATGGATGGTATATTTCAAAGTTTCAACTAAATCTTTACGATTACCATAATTGTCTTTATAATTATCTACTTGTCTATTAAACTCCTTCTGTTCCCAAGTATTGCCATTCTTTAATTTTGTTAATTCGCTTATGCTCCGCACTGCTTCCTGAAAGTCTTCCTTACTGTTATTTATATAACCTCATTCAAAGAGTTGGTCTTTGGCATTCTTTGCCCTCGCAATGGCGGCACTTACTTTTTCTCTGGCTGCATTCTCTTCCTTCACTTGCTCAGAAGCGGTTTGTTTTTCTTTCTCACTTTTGATGGTTGGCACATTTCCACCGCGATAATTCAAGTTTAAAAGTTTAGGAATAGTGCCGGTTCATGCCACTCTATCTCAACTAATATTGCTGATAACATATTCCTCACCCACCTTCATCCTATTATAAAAAATATCACGCTCACTTTCACTTCCAAGAGAACCTTCATTTGTAAAAGAAATTTGAAGTCATTCAACTTTCGGAGCCAAATAACCGTTCACTCCTTTCGTTAATCACTTGTCATTGGCTTCTATTTTTAAATCAAGCCGTTGGTCATCAAAACTTTGGTCTCACTTTTTTTTCTCAGCCAATTTAAAACACAATTCACTCGGTGTTTTTCATTTCTTAATGTCAATATTTCCGCTGATTACCAAAAAATTGCTACCCCAATTTCCCGCTCGCGTTTCTATTATCTCATTTTCTTGTAAATTAATTTCTACTCTTGCGGAATTTTTTCACTGTGTTGAGTCGGGAAGATATCCACTGTAATGACTTTCATCTCCCCCCACAACCTCTATCGCTGTAATTTTTGTTCCTTTATAATTAAATGGTTCAACTTCAAAGGAAAAATTTTTTCCACTCTTATTAAGATTTCTTTCCGTTTTTATTCAAGTAATTATTTTTATTGTCATATTATTATTTTTCTGTAATTAAAACGTGCGCTTACACACACACAGAGAGAGAGAGAGAGAGAGACAATTTTATATTTCTTTCATCATCATCGCCACTCACTTCCTGTCTCCTTAATTTAATTTTATATATATTTATGCAGCATTTTTCATAATTCTTGTCCATTTTTTCAATAACCAATAATTACAAAGTAATTTAACAAGCAGTAAAAAGCGGAAATTAAATTTAAAATGTTGTTGTATATCACTCATATATGCTTCAACCAAATTAACCCATAATTTTAGGGGGAAACTTGGCATTCCCCTATTTTTTCCTTTCTTAACTTTTATGAAATAAATAACAAAATAAGGGCTTCTTCCAGATTTATATCATGCTCTAAATTAAGGTAATT